CATGACACCAGGTAACATAGATGGGAAAAGAATTATCCAGAGACCTATGCAGCTCCCAAAATTAAAAAGTATTATGTTAAAAAACTTAAGAAAGCAGAGATAATGAAACAAGAGAAACTTATTTTGAAAATATCGGAAGAGACAAAAATGGATATCCTGTCCAATGGCTGAAAGATTGTTCAACTCAAAAGGAAACTGAACGATGGGATGTATTGTATAAATGGCTGCAGTTATCAGATAGTGTTGGAGTAACATAGAATTAAACTAAAATTAAATTATAAGATGAAAGCAGGAGGGTAATCAAACTGTGAAGAAGCAAAAAGTTGATTTGTTATTGTAATATGAATTGATCGGGTGATTGTATACTCTGTGTTCTCTTATCTCCCTGACCCTTTCTCCCTCTTCCCTCTTCCACTTTACTTTTTGTATACCCTACCATGTCCTTAAATAAATACTTTTTTAAAAAAAGAATCAGTATTTTTTTAAAAAATTAGAGACATGACATTACATGAGGAAATATATTCAGGTCTTACTTTGCAGTGGGTCCAGTGTCACATCGAAACTATGATTCTTGAATTCTCCCTTTGGGACTCCAGTATAAAATACAACATTGCCAGAAAGATAAGATGTTGCAGTGTAGCGGCTTTGCGTATGGTTTCGGAAAGTAATATTGACATTAAAATCGCTGCCAAGTGCCGAGTCTTCCACTATGAAATCCATGTCAACCTCCGCACTGGGTGTGATATCCTGGGTCACACTTTTCTTAACACCATATAACAGGGCGGTCTCCAAGGCCAGTCTCTCTTCCTCTGTGCCTGCAAAACAAATAAAAAGTTGCAAAACGACTTCTCACATTACAGTACTCTAAAGCTTAAGCATGGTGTCCAAGAGGAGGAATGTGCAACAGACAAACTTGAGTCTTCTGCCTTCCTTCAGAAGCTTTTCAGTTGCTTTACCTTAGCCACGATTTATTGCAGTGGTTCCCAAACGGTGCACCGTGGCTCCATGAGGCACTGAGAAATCAACCCAGAAGCACCATGGAATCCTCTCCTCCTTCCCCCTCCCTCCCCCTCCCTCGCCCACAGCAGCAGTGGTCCTCAACATGTTGGACACCAGGGACCGGTTTCGTTGAAGACCATTCTCCCAAGGACCGGGGGGGTACTTGTTATGCAGTAGGTTGTTGGAGGATAGGTTTGAATCCATCTTGTTACATATATTGTGCTGGGACAGATAAGCAGTGAACAGGAGGTGAGCTGCAATTGAACCTCCTGTTAGGTCAGCAGTGGCTTAGAACCTAATAGGATGGAAGGCCTCCTTTTGAACAGGAGGGCAGGAAACCCAGGCCTTCGGCAAGATTGGGCCAGGGTTCCTTCTCTGCACCAGAGATACTGCAAGTAAGTACTGTAGTACAGGGGTCCCCAACCCCCGGGCCGTGGACCAGTCCCGGTCTGTGGCCCTGAAAGGGCCAGTCTGCTGGGACAGATGAGTGGCGAGCAGGAAGTGAGTGGCAAGGAAAGCTCCGCCTCCTGTCAGCGTGCTCCTATTAGGTTCTAATGCCACTGCTGACCTGACAGGAGGTGGAGCTTCGCTCCCCGCTCCTCTCTTGCTGCTGTTAGATCACAAAGAAATGCAGCTTCTTCATTTTTCCATAAATTGTTTCCCTTGGAGAAGTCAGGCCATGAGGGCCTTTCCCTTAAGCTATCTGTATATAACTTAGTCTCAGAGTCCATCTAGTGACCTAATAACACACCTTGGGTTTTTAATTATTTTATTACTACTATTATTATTATTTTCAGGCAGTGGATAAGAGAAACCACAGGCACTGATTCTGTGGATAGGGCAGTCCTACTGTACTAGGGAGCCACATCCAGTGCCCAGTAAGTCAAAGCAGCCCTGAGTTCAAAAGGTTTTCGGCACCACTGATTTATTCTGTCATCTAGGTCAAGAAAAAGTGGTTATAGCTAACTATGGTTAATTTCAAACAGAGTATCTTCGACATGTATTTTCTGATGTTGTTGAAATCAATCATAGAAAGACATAGGCACAATTCCAATTCCAGACAACATGTGTCTAACTAAAACCAGTGGGTTCAAAATGTCATGGGCAGATTGTTAATTGGGGCTGGTTAAAGGGAACATATAACTCCTACAATTCCAATTCCAGGCAACATGTGTCTAACTAAAACCAGTGAGTTCAAAATGTCATGGCCAGATTGTTAACTGGGGCTGTTTAAAGGGAACATATAACTCCCCTGTTACAGTAGCTCCATTAACTGCCAATCCATTTTTGGATACAATTCAAAGAGCTATTTTAAACCTATAAAGCCTTGAAGCTATATAAAAGGCCATACCTCCCTTTATGACCCTGCCCAGGTTTTAAGATAATCATTATATAAAAGGCCATACCTCCCTTTATGAACCTGCCCAGGTTTTAAGATAATCAAGTAAGGCCTTTCTCTCAATCCCACCACCCTCACAGTCACATTTGGTGGAAACACGGAAGAGGGCTCTCTCTGTTGCTGCCCCCAGACTCTAGAACTCCCTCCAATGGGAGGCTAGACTGGCCCATCTTTGCCGTCCATCCACAAATAGGCAAATACCTTTTTCTTCAGGCAGGATTTCCTTTAAATGACTGGTTGACCAAGGGGATTTTTTAAAGGAAGCATTTTATTCTGTGTTTTACTTCTTTTTAAATACTGTTTTTAATATGAGTTATTATATTTGTTTAATGCTTTTAAAATACGGTAATAATTTATTGTTTGGTATTTAACTTTGTTTCTGTTAATAGTGTAAGCCACCTTGGATTCTTTAGGAGAAAGACAGAATAAATAAATAAATAAATAAACAACAAACAAACAAATAAATACTGTATTTTTCGTGTATAAGACGCCCCCATGTATAAGATGCCCCCCCACTTTTCTAACCCAAAATTAAGAAATATAAGTGGGGCTTAGCAAGTGTAGGGGAAAAGAGATCAAAGCGCTGCAGGATCGCTTTGATCCCTGCTTTCT